GATGAAGTAAAGTGTGTGGGAGCTAACAAACTCCTCAAAAGCATTTTGGATTGCTTTTCGCATATTGATTTCTTTCCCGCCAAGAAATTGTTCAAACTATGGAAAAATTTAAAGAAATAGAAGACTCAAAACTTCCAATCCTAGCTCATGTAGGTTAGGCTGGCTTTGAGTCCATCCAGGCGGGCTCCCGGCCCGTCGACCGAGGGAACTGGTGGTCGTGTCGCTGGTGGCCGCCGGTCCAGCGTCTGGGAGATTGCGGGATGGATGTAATATGCTCTGCGTCGACCCTATCCTGCCGTCTCAATAACCCCTGGTCCGAGGTTGGACAGCCAACTGTGAGCGGCAGGAGTTTTTAGTGAGGTTCAACTCCCACATTCAATTCCCCCTGATCCGGTAATTTTCTCCAGAGAAAAAAAAAAGAGAGTCCGTTTGTTGGGCCGTATGTGATCAAAGGTTGTCGTGTAGGAGGAGCGGGGACGAGCGATTAGCCAAGGCTTGCCGAACATTTGCGAGTTTCTACATCATTGTGTCCAGTACAAAGTGAAGCTGAGGGTACAAAGAGCCACGAAGGGCTTTCAAGGACACGACCTTCAGCAATGAAGTATTCGACTAAGAAGAAGTGTCCAGTACAGCAATGCCAGTGCTACTTGGTGAGAAGCTATGATGAATTATACCAGTACTAGATAACCAAACAATGATCATAACTTTTGAGGCGTCGGTTTTCGTTTGAAGCATTGCGGCTCAAAATTCCTTCATTTCTTTAGCAATTCAAGGCATACCTGTATGCATTCGTCGCGCTAGCGATCGTTCGGTGCATTTAGCGGTACCCACTTATGAAATTTTTCACCTAGCCAATTCGATGCAAATGTACCAATATTGACGGCCGGGTGTCTATAAATTGGATTCCCAATGTAAAACAATGTTCCATTTTCATTACATGATGATCATTAATCATCAGTTCGGATCAGTTCAATTAGTTCAGATTAAAATCGCACTACGTTGCACAATAATATAATATACGATATAACTGTATAACTCCTACGATATAACTGTATAAGTTGCTACTTATTTTGTGTTTACTTGCATATTTTTAGTATTTATTTGTATTTAATCGTATGTACATAAGTCTATCTTTGTATTTCTTTTTCACATGTGTTTATAAGTATATATTTTTATGTAAGTTTATTAAGATATAGCACCGTCCGCTAGTTTGCTTATTCCTCTCCCTGCAAGGTTGCCTGGAAGAGATCGCTTTTAGCGATAGGCCGCCAATTTATGTCACCGTCTATTATTTGTGTTATATGGTTACTCTGTACATGTGGTGTCAAATAAAGTGTCATATTATTATTATTATCATTAAAAGCACATAAGTGTTATTATAAAAATTATGGCATCTTTCCCAAGATCTGACCCACCGTAAATTCTTATACACATGATCCAGATATGATAAGAAACTTATTAAGTCACGTATGTTTGAATATTGATATCAATTATAAAATAAAAATCTTATATTTCTTTGTCAATAACAAAGAACCTACAAATCTCTAACCCCTTGTCAGGCGAGACAAGTCGTATAAACCATTTGTTACACTTTCAATGCTCTGTGGACGCTGCTATAATATATATCTCTTCACTATTCACTAGCCAGTCGTCTATCAATTCAAAGCGTTCGAATCCTATTAATCAACCGGTAACTTGATGTTTCTTCGGGGAAATGAACACGTTTTATTTCTGTATTCTTATAGAAAACTAAATTCTAAATATCCGACTAATATTTAAAGTCAACAGGCGGCTAATTTTAATTATATTTGTAACTGTTTAATGTTTCTTTTGTTATTTAAATGTTGAGGTAAATTCTGTTAATTTTAGGTTTTATTCAACTACTGCTTCTTTTCATTCGATTATTTTATAATCGATCGAATTGGTACATTTTGAAAACGTTAATAAAATAATTGTTTCCAATAATTTATCTGGTCATAGACGTAATAAAGACTGTCTTCAATCGCGAGTTGAATGCGTTTACCTAAACGATTTAAAGAAGAGATTATCAAATCGGTATGTATAAATTTCAAAAAAAATCCACCCATCCAAGCAATAAAAAAAAATGTATTTTGTTAGTGTCATTCTACTAATTTAAATTATTATTATTTTTGTCCTTGTAAACAGACGAGCATTTGGCCCACCTAATGGTGAGTGGTTACCGAGTGAGTGGTCCACGAGGACAACAGCAAAGCCAGTGGCAGAGCCAAGCCGCTGCCTACCGTTATGTAGTACCGTCTCCACAAGCCACGTTTGAAGTAGAATTTTTTTATTTTTTTTATTCCTTAGGTGGGTTGACGATGTCACAGCCAGCGTAGCGTTAAGTCGTTACTAAAGCCCGTAGACATCTACAACGTAAATGCCGCCATTCACCTTGAGATATGCGTTCTAAGGTCTCAGTATAGTTACAACTGCTGCCCCACCCTTCAAACCGAAACGCATTACTGCTTCGCGGCAGAAATAGGCAGGGTGGGGGTACCTACTCGCGCGGACTCACAAGAGGTCCTAACACCAGTAAATATGATAATAATATGACAAACGTCCAATATGATAATAATTGAGAACAATTCACGCACGGTCATCCGACCCCAATTTAGGATTTCTTGTGTTATGGGTACCAGAAACTGATATATATACTAATAAACATTTTTTAAATAAATACTTTTATAGATAATAAACACCCAGACAAAGAGCGATTTTTTTTATATTCCTACCTATGCTGATAGCCTTGAGAGGCTATTTCAGCTTCGCCCTAACGTTTGTAGGTGAGCTCACGGGGCTCAACCGGAGAGTTGCTAACACTGACCCTAGCAAGTGCCGTGCTTCGCAGAAACCACCGGATCGGAAACGCGACCCACTGAGAAGATCCGGCGAGAAACTCAGTGGGCTGTGTCTATGGGTTAGTTCGCTCGTCGAGCCCTTCGTCGCAAGCGACGGTTTCGACGAGAACGGTGACCGGAGAAAGAGCGAACAAAGTTGATCATCANGGCTCAACCGGAGAGTTGCTAACACTGACCCTAGCAAGTGCCGTGCTTCGCAGAAACCACCGGATCGGAAACGCGACCCACTGAGAAGATCCGGCGAGAAACTCAGTGGGCTGTGTCTATGGGTTAGTTCGCTCGTCGAGCCCTTCGTCGCAAGCGACGGTTTCGACGAGAACGGTGACCGGAGAAAGAGCGAACAAAGCTGATCATCACATGAATTTGCCCGACGTGGGAATCGAACCCACGAGCCTCGGCGCAATACTCAAGGGCGCTAACTACTGCACCACCGGGTCAGTCAAAGCTTACTCAAACTTACTTTAACATTTCCATTAAGACTAATTTAATGTTGGATGAAAATAAAATAAAACGCAACATTGACATTTTATTAAATCACATGTAATAAAAAATGTTCACCTCGGTTATCGTTTCAAATTAATTACAATTAACGTCGTGCCTTCGTCGTGATTAAATTCATTACAATAATGAGCAAATCGTTTCCGATCTTTTTTCAAACTTCGCTCCCGCGATGCATTCTGAAATTAGTGTTAAAATATTGGCATCGTATTCTTAGCGATGCAATTCAGATTTCTTAAAATAATTTTACTAGTTTGATTTTCATATTTTCTTTTTTAACAATTAACTTTAACGTTTGAATATTTTTGGCGTATTAAATGCTTATTACATTAAGATTAAATTAAAATAATAAACACGAAATTAAACAGTCAAATTTGTTTTAATAAAATATTCAAAAGTGCTAGTTGATTCTTGTTCATTTGAAATCTAACGACTAATCCTATAAAATATGAAACTTCATTTAACTTTTTACACCATAATGAATGATGTTGTTATTTAATTAGTATTTTCGACCTCATGATTTATAAATTGAATTAATTTTCAGAAAGGAAATGAATCATTTTTTCATACACAGTTTTAACACTAATTCCAAATCACTTAAAATTTGATAGTGCACTTTATATAGAACGATTATATTCTAAATTTAATTTGAAAATAGTTATATTATTATTTATATTACAATTTCCACTAATAATCTTTCTATACACGCTGCAGGTATTATTCGTTTTTACATTTATAAGTGACGATATTGTATACGACATATAAAACATAAAATCTCCGTAATAAGAAAACGAACGTGAAATTGTCTTGTAATCTATAAAAAGAACAATAACGAGGATAGAGAGTCATCCGGCTACTCGCTCCTTCGTCACCTAAAAATAATTCTCGACTTTAATTCGTCTTCATTGATCTTTTAATCGAGCCGGTACTTATTGTGACACTTCAACTCATTAAATATTTACAATCGCGACACTAGTGTGAACCAACACTATCCATTAAACAACAATAATCTTGAGATTCATTAACATATATTATTATTATACTAAGAATAAAAGTATTGTCAATTTACAAAAGTAATAATTCATGGAAAAACATTTATTACATACTCTTTGGCTTTATTTGACTACAAAATAACAAGGAAATCGAAGAATTATTGAGTCACGGATACATTGTAACTGCTTATTTGTTGATACGATAACGATTTATCGGATCCGATACAATGTTACCGACTCAACGACTAGCTGTTTATTACAAGCGCCTGCGAGGGATGAGTGACGTACGCGTATCAAATGAGGCGACAATGTATTCGTTGAAGTGCAGCGACACAGGCCGATAATAACTTTTACGTAGTACATACGTACCGATGACGTACTCTTGAACCAATAATCAATCAAGGATGAACATTGCGTAAAAAGACCTCAGAAAATTATTAAAATCGTTTTTTTTTATTACTTAAGTGGGTGGACGAGCTCAAAGCCCACTTGGTGTTAAGTGGTCACTAAAGCCCATAGACATCTACAACGTAAATGCGCCACCCACCTCGATATAAGTTCTAAGGTCTCAATATAGTTACAATGGCTACTCCAACCTTCAAACCGAAGCGCATCACTGCTTCGTGGCAGAAATAGGCAGAGTGGTGGTACCTACCCGTGCGGACTCTCAAGTGGTCCTACCACCAGTAAGATAGTTAAATGAATGTACATAGAATATATTATTGTATGGGTCTGTAGATCGGAATAGTTGTGATTACACTTTAGAGCTAAGGAAACTGCTCCTTATACTTTATCTAAACCATATCGAATACTCTGCGTCAACCTCGAAATATCGTTATCGCATCGGTCATTGAAAATTGCTCTAAGTCGTATAAATAAAGTTTTTTTTCCCAAAAAATTATTCCAAAACGATTTAAACGACAATGTCTCAAATCGATAATTTGAAGTCAAAGCAAGACACAATATTGAATGAAAGTTCCTTAGGCTTTGAACTATTATGATTCGATCTAGGTATTTTCTTTAATTGTTTTTTATCAATTTATCATGTTCTGTACAAAAAAAAAAAACTATTATGTATGTTCTCGATATGACAATAATGCTATGAAAGGGTCGAAAAAAAGAGATATCGAAAAAATAATAAAAAAAAGCATTTATAATATATACACATAATTATCTAAAATTATCTACAGCTTAGAGCCTTCATTGTACCTCTTAAAGAGTAATTAATTGTTATATTACGACAAATTATTCTAAATTATTTAATTAACATTTCCCCATCAGTCGTTTATTTGAAGATACAAATCATTTTATCCGTAAAACTAAATTGATTTTTTTTTCCATTAAGTTATAATACACTCTTGACCAGAAAATATAAATACTAATATTATTTAACGATTAATTGTAAACAGAACCGGTTTACTACTAATATCTGTAAAAACAACCTTTAATCAAAACTAATCATTATGACACATATTTTAAAATTGAAGATTCCTTAACTTTCCTCGTAATTATATGTACATCAAATTGAAATTTTAAACACAGCTTTCTTGATGCGCCGCGAGTAGAGGCGTTCTCGTTGTGACGACTTCTCTGTGAGATCTCAAAACTCCGTTTGCTCCGTTTCGACTTGATTCACTCTGAAAATAAAATATTTGTGAACATTAAAGTACTTTAAGACTAATTTATTCGAACTAGTGGTCCTGGCGAAGTCGAAATTCGACTATAATTAATTGGAATTGTAAGTTTGTACACTATTATGATGTATTTTATACTTCTATAAACACAAATTTCGCCAAGGCTACACTATAAAAAAAAAATTAATAAAGACAAACAATATTTAATCTATTCTCAATTTGACCACAGACGTCAAGAACAAAAGTTTGACAATAAATAGTATGCATGCGTGTGTGCGTCAAATACATGGTATGTAGTGTGTGTAATGTTTTCTTTATTGATTTAATGTATCTTTTATGCATTATTTAAAAAAAAAATTAGCATTGTGCACTTCTTCTCTATATTCTGTANAAAGACAAACAATATTTAATCTATTCTCAATTTGACCACAGACGTCAAGAACAAAAGTTTGACAATAAATAGTATGCATGCGTGTGTGCGTCAAATACATGGTATGTAGTGTGTGTAATGTTTTCTTTATTGATTTAATGTATCTTTTATGCATTATTTAAAAAAAAAATTAGCATTGTGCACTTCTTCTCTATATTCTGTATAAGTGTGGAAAATTTCATACTCCTCCGTCCATGCAATTTTCGTAAAAAGGGATACAAAGTTTTTGCTTCACGTATTAATATATAGATATCGACAAATAACACCACAGTCGTTCGCGGCCACTAAAGCTGTAAAGTATTCAAATCGTCAGAAATAATATAATGATATAATAACGCGCAAACTAACCGTAAAATATTTTAGGAATGAAGTTCCTTATGGGACGATACGGAGGGGTACCACCCTAACCGGAAAAAAACGTCCGTAACGTAAGATTTTTATTAGTAATGCACACAGTGTACGACTTAACTTTGTAATAACGTACAAAAAATAACATATTTTTATTACATATCTTTTATAAATCATTGTAAATAAAATAAAGTTGATAACTTTGTAAAGTATTTAGTTTTTTTTTATCAATAAAAAAATCATCATAGAAAATGTATACCCGAATAATTATTTTCTTTATACCTCGAATAGAACTTAAAATTAATATTTTTACAATAAGGAACTTCGTTCTTATCCGGTGTCCCACGACACCACACTTAATTTTCATTTATTAATTTAATTATCTAGAACTCGCTTAAACCGAATAAGAAAAATAACTAAGCCGTCTGAAGTTAAAAATTGAAGTTGGTTAATGTTACTAAGCCAAAGCTTTATCGTTTAGCTGCACTCTATACATTCTCCTTTATTATCTCATGGCTAATGGGTTACTGAGACAAAATAGTCAGAACCGGAATGCTAAAATCCGAATTCGAACCACGGGGGCAATATTAAGGTGACGCAATTTAAGAAGAGAATTCGAGTTAGACATTATAAAAGACTAGCTATAGGCCTACCTGCCCGCTTCGCTGGGCATTTAAAATTAACATTATTATTTCTCACCCCCACAAAGATTCTCATCATTAACGCCCCCGCAACTGGTGTAGCGAGTCCAACACTCATATAAATATATTAGCCTATCCATTAAGTACATGTATTTTCTACATGGATACCAAGTTTCAAGTCAATCGGATGCATTTTTCAGTAGTTATAACGGAACATCCGTAAAAACAACTGTAGACTTATATATTAGTATAGATTTACAAATGACTTGTTACGCGTAAAAAAGTTTAAAATAAATACAAAGCTCACGACTTAGGAGCTAGCGCGATTTTTAAACGATCAAATGTCTGAAAAATGTGTACAATAAATTTTCATTAATTTAGCTAATATAAGTAAAATTAAGTATACCGCAAAAAAATAACCTATTTTAATAAAAATCTAATTCCTAAATTTTTCTGTTTACAACCGAGTCAAGCAAGCGCTTCGTAAACAAGAAATGTAATTGTAATAATAACAGAAATGCCCATAAACAAAACCGAAATTATTTTAGGCGTGAGCAATAATAGCGTTGTATAATACCATTACAAGAAAGCAAACCTGCGTGTCAGTGTATTGAGCGTGCGACGAAGCCGGCGTGGTCGGTGATAGCGTGCGAGCCAAACTGTGGGCGCTGTTCGAGTTCTTTGGGTCTGATGACGTCACCGCCGAATACATAGGCGGATCGGGCGGACATCCTGCCAGTCCTAGCAAAGTAAACGAGTTTGGTTAGTAATTACTAGCTGCATTTTTTTATCCGCCTAACACGTGATGTTATGATGATGCATTCATAGAGAAACCAGTACGCGATTTAAATGAAGCCTAGAGGCATGCTTTTTACAAATTCGTAGATTCTGATACACATCGTGCAAAAATAGGAAATTTGTGAGGTTAATTCGTCCACTCCAAATGCTTATGTTTCAGATAGACAGAGAAACTATCACACAGCGCGCTAGGATTTAATTGACTGCTGATCATGAGCGCTAGAAATTGTCAAAAACCTTCTTTGAAGTACCAAGAACAGCGGCGCTATATTACAAGTTAATGAGTTAAACGACCTTCGGACGCATAGAACACGAAAAAAAGACGTAAACCAAACAAAGAACCGACTTACAAAAATATTTTTCAGGATATATTGGAAAATGAAGAGTAATTGATGTTATTTCAAGCGCTATGAAAATATAGTCCTTTTCAAACAAGGTTTGTGCCAAGTACTTAGGCGGCGGCTTGGCAGTGCTCCTGGTATTGCTAACGTCCATTAGTGACAGTAATCACTCACTATCAGTGGGCCATATGCTCGTCTGTCTACAATAGCCATTAAAAAAAGATGCCTAAAGAGACAGCACAAAGATGATAAAGTATGAAAACTTAAATAAAAAAAATTCGGTTTTGCAGCGATCCAAAATAGATACTTTTTTTTATCCTGTTGGTTCTAATCAAAATATTACGCCAACAAAACAAAATGGTTATAATGTCATTGTCATTTTGATACTTGAGCAAATTTCCAAGCCAATCGAAAGTTTGTAAAGACTCAATAAAACTGTATTACAAAATCGGGTTCTTACATTGTACGAATCAAGTTATGCAAGCTCACGGAGTACATAAAGATTAGTTTATTTTAAGCCAACGAAGTTATTATAGTTACATATTATAATTACATACACATTTAAAATTATGTAAATGCTAAATCAACACTGGAAAATTTTCCAAATATTTGTGAGGATAATTGTGGTCACAAAGCTAATTTTGTTATTAGCTGTCTCAATATAATATTTAAATCACGCAATTCTGTACACGGGATAAGAGTTCATGACATCTGAAATGACTATGAACTAGACTTGTACATACTTGTACTTTTTTTCCTACCTATTTGCTGGTAGCCTAAGAGGCTATACCGCCTACGCCCGGATGGGTAGGTGAGCTCGCGAGCTCAACCTGAGATAATTTGCTAACAATAGCCCTAGCAAGAGCAGTGCTTTGTAGAATCTATAACCTGGTTACTGGTGGTAGGACCTCTTGTGAGTCCGCGCGGGTGAGTACCACCACCTTGCCTATTTCTGCCGTGAAGCAGTAATTCGTTTCGGTTTGAAGGGTGGGGCAGCCGTTGTAACTTACTTGAGACCTTAGAACTTATATCTCAAGGTGGGTGGCGCATTTACGTTGTGGATGTCTATGGGATCCAGTAACCACTTAACACCAGGTGGGCTGTGAGATCGTCCACCCATCTAAGAAAAAAAAAAAAAAACCTGTTCGGAATCGCGACCCACTGAAAAAATCTGGCGAGAAACTCTGTGGGCAACTTGTATCTAATGCACTGCATGTACTTGGTTTGGTATTTCGTTTTTCCATTCACATTACAGTTTAATTTTAATCTTTTATTACATATCTTTATGGATTGCTTTTGATGACCGATAGAAGCAAATAAAAAATAACCGTTTTGCAACATTCTAAACCTTAACAAATATTTTGAATAATCAATGAAACATTACACCAAACGCTATTACTTACAAGATACAGTAACGTGTAATGTTCTGTACGCGTAGCTTTGTAAGCTGTAAAGTTTATTATCGCGCTTCTGGTAAAAGCTTTCTCTTGTGAGCCCTGCTCGTGATCGTTCGCTGACTTGTTTTTTACAAATCTGGTGGTTTTAAAGGAACATTTGTCTTGTTTTAAAATAGGAAGAGCTTTAGATGTTTAAATATTTATCTTCAAATTGTCATGCGTTGCGGTTGAAAGGGCGGTTATTATAATACGGTTGAAATTTGTAACTTATGTCTTAAAGTGATTAATTTTGTGATGCTTATGGCCTTCAGGAATCATTTATAACCAGGTAAGCCAAGAGCCCACCTTCTCGGCTAGTTAGTCAGATAGTCTAGTAACAGTCTGAGATTGATTAGCTCGTACTCACAAGAGAGAGGGAATGTGATCTTGTCCACCAGTCACCACATGCACAAGAATGCACCCATATGTTAAAATTTCAATTTTATTGTTCTAATTGATGGTTTATCCTTCAAATCGGAAAGCAATACATTTTCAAAATCTTAGTAACAGGAAAGTGTCTTCGAAATTTTTTCCATGATAGTAGTTCTTTTAAGTTTCAAACTAATCAAGTCCTATTCACTTAATTGCACGTTTGCCGAATAATGAACCTCGGTAACTCCAAACAGACAAGACTGAATCTAGATTCCCAAGAAAGTCATCTAGTTTCAAGGAAATTTACATAGAAACGCAATTAGCTGCAGTCTGCTGAATGAACGATTGCATTAAAAGGCCGAGTAAGTCTTGCAGCGGCAGTCGCAACTAAACTAATTAGCCAAGCCGTCTGCCTTGTATCGAACCGAGGCAAATCTAATTTATGCATTAATTATTCCGTATTTGTTTGTTCACTAGTTTGTTTGTCTCTTTGTATTTTTCATTGTCTTTGTCGGTAGACACCCACCTGGTTGTGGGTTAGATACCATTGCTCATAGACTTCAGAAATACCAGAGGCACTGCGAAGTCACTACCTAACGCTGAGTAAATTTTTTTTTAAATTGCTTAAGGGGTTACTGGAGCCCATAGACATCTACAACATAAATGCGCCACCCACCTTGAGATATAAGTTCTAAAGTCTCAAGTATAGTTACAACGGCTACCCTTACCCTTTAAACCTAAACGCATTACTGCTTCACGGCAGAAATAGGCGGGGTGTTGGTACCTACCTGTGCGGACTCACAAGAGGTTCTACCACCAGTACTATCCGCAAACCTCACAACGTAACGAGTAGAAGCGTGCTGCTGATGAACCCAATGGTTCTAGGTAGTATGGCAATAACCATCATAGAACACAAGATATTTGACAGATGCCTAAATCTCGCTTACGACATTTCCAAAATAAGCTTGCATATATATCAGTTCCGAACAACAACATTTGGACCGTCGGTCTACCGAACAAATATCACCCGCTCGATGAAAGATCTGCCCCGATGACCGTTTGTTGAACTTGTCCTCATGGAAGTCCTCATGGAACATAAGTTACGGAACACAAAGAGAACAGACGTCCCTCTATTGACCATGAGCTTCCAACCGATTCGTGTTCTTTGCATTCGTGGGTCCTATTTCCATCTAGTCAAATCTTTCTGCAGTTGTTTTAGCGTTGTACTAATGCCCTACACTAAGTATCTCACGAGTAATTTTAATGCGGACTTTGAAACAAAGCCGCAAATTTTGGAAATCTACATAATTAACAATAGACCAAGGCGAATGTAGACCCGCACGGACAGTTAGCACAATTCTGATTTTTTTTGTCGCAAAACAATGACACGCTCGAATTTGACGGGTGGGACATCCGAGGCCTTAACTTTATTCCTCAAGATGGGAGCAACATCTATTGTCAAATAAGTCCCCTAGTTGACACTAGAGGGGGCATATTAACTTATACATTCCTCCGAGTTAGGGATGTTTTCTTTAAATTAAATTATACCTGCCGGCGGGAATTGAATACGGCATAGATATACGGCAAGGTTCATCTTATCATTTAGACCACGACGATTCCAAAATGAATAAATAAATATTAAATTAATAAGTCTTAGTGTAATATTTTAGACCAATTGATAATTTTGTAAGAACTGTTGCAATTTATTTATTGGAACGAAGTTCCTTATCGCGCGTTGTGAAAGGGGGCTAGACGGAAAAAATTCTTACGAAAAGTTGTCACGACACTTTTTTAATTTATTTTATTAATATAAGTAATTTTGAACTGTATGTCGGAGTGATAGGACACACTACGGCGCAGCGGAGTCAACGCAGCATCAATCGCGTTTGAGTGACAGCCGCGTGACAGAAGAAGACCCGGTCACCCTGTCTGTCAATAACATAAAGTTGATAACTTTGTAAAGCAGTTTTTTTTTATCAATAAAAAAATCATAATAAAAAATGTATACTCGAATAATTATTTTCTTTATACCTCGAATAGAACTTAAAATTAATATTTTTACAATAAGGGACTTCGTTCCTATCTGGTGTCCCACGATACCACACATCTTTTATTGAATATAGCAATATTAAAATGTAATTATTACCTTTGCTTAGTGGAATGATGTCTGGATTTCTGTCGTCTTGCCCGTGAGGAGAGTTCCTCTTTGGCGGTAATACTTTTTGGTTCTTTAATGAAGGTATGGTGACTGTAAAATAAAATAATAATAATCGAAAAACACACACACTAACACCGCATGAATAGGCACTGCCAAAGCGCCTATTTCTGCCGGATAGTAATTATAGGTACGTTCCGGTTTGTGAGGCGAAGCAGTCGTTATACTATTAATAAGGTTTAGATTTATCATATCTTAAAGTAACTGCATCACACGTGGGGACGTTATGGACTTCGTTAACCATTTAACACCAGAAAAGCTAATAAGTCTTTCTCACCAATCTATGCAATAAAAAAAGTACTTGAATTCTCCGCGTTAAGAACATCATTAAATTTTATAATTATGGAGATTTATGAAAAAATAAAAAAATTGTTTTACTCAATTACTGGTTAAAAAGCATCTTCGGACTTATGAGAATTGCTATCTCCAACGCTTCTCACTGTCACAATTAAATTAAAAAATTACTTTTTTCAGAAATATTATTATAAGTATACTAAGTACCTTCGTAGTCTCTTGCTCTATTTCTCAATTTGAAAACGGTCATTGCGAGACAGACAATCACACCGATCACCGTGATGAAGCACAAAGCACCGCCGACAGCCCAGTTCACTTCCCATGCCGCTTGCGCTTCTGATTTCGAACATTATCATCCAAAATTAGTTGTTGTAATTAGATAACTATATAAATAAATCGACGCCTGAAAGGCAAACGTGACTAAGCGAAAATGCGTGAACTTTACAGTAGACTAATTTAAAATTAAAATAACTAAAAACAAAATTCATTTTAACGAATCTAGCTGTAGTAGAATCTAGCTAGTAGCTGTAGGATTGAAATGATTTTAATAGACCTAGAAATATAATTTTTTTTTGCGCATCGAATATGGTTATTGCCTATCATTTATGTACAAAGCAGCTATTGTCGCTTAGTCACTTTTGCCTTTCAAGTGTCGATATGTACTACAACAACATATATTTGAAACAAGAACTCCTACACACTAATTTCGAGCTTATCCCTATTCTCGTTAATTAATATAAGACCCGAAATTTCCGAAGTTGTTGACGCCAGATATACGACCCGTTGCAAAACTATAAGCTAAATGTACATTTATTATTTGTATGTCGCATTAACCTCACCATTTTCAACAAGAAGTAAAATAATGAGTTGAGTTCCTACTCGTACTAATTAAAGGAGTATTACGGCTTTATATGATATTTTTTAAAACTTTAATATCCGGGGTTTCATTTTTATTTATTTTTTGGTTTAGGTCTGCAACGAACGGTCTTATTAACTGCTTATTACGCACAAGTAAGTGAAGTACATTTATCTTATAAATAACACAAGTCGAGTTACAGAAAGGAGATCAGACACAAAAGGCGGAAAAATGTTCAGTATGGCATTAATTCAGACGCTACTAGAAGAAATTACGTAAGAAATTAATAAAAGAAAAAAACGTTTCTAAAAAGGGGCTTCCTAAAAAGACTTGAATGGACTGTGTGAAAAGGATATGCGAGCGAAGTGTGTGAGTTCAGGTATGATAAGTCTGTATCGAAAAAGAGGTCATTCTGCGCTGACCTCAAAATGAGCGCAATAAAATGTTTCTAGACATTTCTAATGATGCCTACTTCATACATATTTTACAAAAATATTAGTAAAACTGTAATCGTTCTGGCAATTAATACAAAATGACACCATTCACTTTCATTAAGCTGCTTAGCGTCTCCGATAGCCAATTCCCCGAATATTTACGAAACATCACAAAAGCCTTTTGTATATAGGTGATATAAGTAATAGCAGCTCTTGTTGCGTGTACACAGTAACTCCGCTGCGAACACAAATAAGCCTCACGCATGACATCGAGTTGAATTACACCACAATTCATAAATTTTGTGCCTTTCGTCTATTTTATGTCTGAGATGAAAAGTTAGACGTAAGTAATTTATATTCGTTGTTTTGCGATAGAATCTTTCATTAAGTCAGCGAATTTAATTTCATTAATAAGATTTTCGTACTCTTGTGTTTCAAAAATAAAAACACAATATCTCAGTGAAAATTATCGTAGATCTGTGGTAATTAATGCTATACGTGACAACTAATTTGCCAAATTACTACGGAGAAAATTCGTTATTATTTTTTGATATAATTGATATATATATATATTTGATTAACACTATTTTCAGCACTTTTTTCGTCAATACTAGAAATGTCACGAACCCGACGTACAGAATAATATTATCTATATATTAATACGTGAAGCAAAAACTTTTTATCCCTTTTTACGAAAATTGCGCGGACGGAGGAGTATGAAATTTTCCACACTTATAGAGAATATAGAGAAGAAGTGCACAATGCTAATATTTTTTAATATAAATAATAAAATAATGCATAAAAGATACATTAAATCAATAAAGAAAACATTACACACACTACCATGTATTTGACACACACACTCATGCACACCTACTATTTATTTATTGTCAAACTTTTGTTCTTGACGTCTGTGGTCAAATTGAGAATAGATTAAATATTGTTTGTCTTTATTAATATTTTTCTATAGTGTAGTCTTGGCGTTAAAAATACAATCATAATAGTGTACAAACTTACAATTCCAATTAATTATAGTCCAATTTCCACTACTGCGGGACCTCTAGTATTTAGTTATTATCTACTAATATTTAGTTCTAATTTGACAACACCCTGTACGTTTTAGCAAAACACGAACATAAACATGAAGGCTGACGCATAGCTCATTGTCGTGAGGTAATTCATAAATTTTCTGGCTCCGTTTATTATTACTCTGTCAGAAATCGTGTCAAGGGCGTGGTTTTGCTGCTTCAGGTTTTACGTGCATGACGAAATTGGGTTTTGTTTACCCCTTGTTTTGAGGCATTCAAGCTTATAAGTTTCTGTTTTGAGTAAGAATTAGGAATCGCCTTACCCCAATTAATACAGAAATTGCAATTTGTTATTTATGTTTGGAATTTACTTAATGCTTGAATTAGATAAGTCTTGAGTTTATAATTTTCAATACAATAATGAAATAATTAGATAACTACAGATGAATATGGGTTTATGAGCTTGAAAATAAGAAAAAAATCAAGACAAAACACTACATAATAGTATAAAACAAAGTCGCTTTCTCTGTCCCTATATCTCTATGTATGCTTAAATCTTTTAAACTACGCAACGGATTTTGATGGAGTTTTTTTTAATAGATAGAGTGATTGAAGAGAAAGGTTTATATGTATAATAACATCCATTAAATAGTGGAGAAATCAATAATAAATTACAGTTTCGGAAGCGAAGCCAGGGCGGGTCGCTAGTTATCCATAAACAAGAGTCGTAATTGTTGAAAACTGTTTAATATTTTTCATTGAAATAACCGAATCGGCTGCTCTACGGAGTCAGTCACAAAATACTCCATTATCCTTTAACCACTAATAATAATTGACCACCAATAATGCAGACCCACTGTATATCTATGATCTGATCTTCCTTCAGCGTTCCTAGTTAATGAAGAGTTTTATATATTCCAGTGATAGGTTTTAAGCCTGTTCAGAACTATATTACTGTTTTCCCAATTATAATTATGCTTTGAATTACCTAACATTCCGATTTCGAATGTAATGAAGATGCCAATAATATAATGTAAATTTCAACGCTATATCTGAAGTTAGCTAATACTATTAATTTGCTTTGCTGAGTCTAAGTGCTTTGATGATAGCTTAGTATTAATTGTCCAGTGAGATGACAAAACATTTTAATAGTCCTAAAAATGTAAGATAAAGTAATGATATCGTGATTGTAAAATCGAGTGTAAAGTACCACGGAAACGGCTTGCTTATAAGCAATAAGCAATTGCTTCTATAAATATCAACTAGATGATGACCGGGCTCAGTCTTTTTTTTGATAACGCCATCTTGTTGTGTCTTTAAAGCGGTGAGTTGCCCTCAATTAAGAAAAGTAGTATTATTATTCGCCAAGAGATGTCGGGAAGAGTTGATTATTGAAAACACGAATAAAACAACAATTTCTGAAAATAAATCGTAGCTAGATCGATTTATCGCCCCCGAAATGTACCCTGTATACTAAATTTTATGAAAATCGTTGGAGCCGTTTCCAAGATTCAGATTATATATATATTAATATACAAGAATTTCTCGTTCAAAGATATAAGATTGAATTAAATTATAAATAAGGAAATATTAATTCTTACCCGTCCTTGGAGCTAATCTCGGTGCAGTTTCAACAGTGAATGAGACGTGCTCGGACCTCCCTCTAGAATTCGCGGCATATACAACCAAACGCAAAAGTCTTGCTGCTCCCAATCTTCTTAGGTTCCATAAGGCAGCACCATTACTCACGTTCACCAACAGACCCTCGTTGGTCCAGACTTCTAATACGTAAACACAACGTAGACCTCCTTCGTATCCTAGAAGTGAAAAAAATCTACATTCGGCTTCAAAGAAACGACCTAAATTTAAATCTAATATATCCCTATTTTAATTTTTGTAGATATCTTCAATTATCAAATTAATATTTACTGGTCTTAGAAAGTCTTGTGAGTCCGCACAGGTAGGTACCACCACCCTGCCTATTTCTGCCGTGAAGCAGTAATGTATTTCGGTTTGGATTGTGGGCAGCCGTTGTACTGTAAAAATTGAGACTAAAACTCATATCTCAAAGTAGGTGGCAGCATTTACTTTGCAGATGCCTATGGGCTCCGATAACCACTTAAAAACAGGTGGGCGGTAAGCTCGTCCACCCATCTAAGCAATAAAACAAATTTGTTTTAAAATTATGGAAGAAGAGACTGAGCAGTGATATTTTTCGTAAGCATCTGAATAGGTATTCTGATTCTCTTGCGGATGTTAGCAAAGTCTCCCAGGCGGAGCCCTGTGAGCTCGCCGACACGTTTAATGAATCGGAGGGCTAGCACAACCCTCCTATCCCCCCGAGGTTACTAGCAATAGGAAAGCAAAAAAGCTCTCTGATACAGTCGAGATAACAAGATCTGGCTACGTACCGTGTAACAAAATAGAAAAATCTAACGTCTAATCCACTGATCCTCAATTGCAATGTGTATAATTGTAATTCTAAAAATATCATTTACCAGCTGACCAGGCAGACTTCGTAGTGCCTTAATCAATAAATAAAAGACCCAAACTTTTGTATAAAATAAACTTAAAACAAACAAAAGGAATCCGTCCGACGGGGGACACATCAAAGGAAAAACAAAATTGTTTGTTTTTATTTAATTCCCAGCATTTTCATATTTTTTTCAACCTTCTCTGGACTTCTACGAATAATTCAAGACCAAAATTAGTGAAATCGGTCCAGCCGTTCTCGAGTTTTAGCGAGACTAACGAACAGCAATTCATTTTTATATAATTATATAGATTATGTACTTTTGAAACTTTTACTTAACAATGATCGGAGGGATGTTATAAAATTAATGTTAGATACATTAATTGTACGGTCAGCAGCTTGTTCTCCAAGCTGTTTGCTGAGATAACATACAATCACGAAATTGTACAAAAAACATTGCCCGCTATAAATATACTTCAAAAATAAATATAGACGCGAGAATTACTAAATTTGGAATGTTCTTTGATGTTATTTTCGTTTCATTTAACAGGGCAGTGTCAACAAAGATTCGTACGAGTTTTCTTTCGTTTCAAAAAAAAATTGTGCAATCTGTTTCGTTGAAATTATGACGCACCCTCTGGAAAATAAAGGTGGGAGCTGGTAACGAAGCTAAATATAGGATGAAAGGGTCCTCGTTAGAGCGGAAACAGCAGAATGAGCTAAAATATTACTATGATGTATATTTTATACTTTTATAGGAGTTAAAGAACATAAACCTAAGATATGCACAATTATAGATTTTTTTTATTTAGTGCAGAATTTTCCAAAGTTTATTTATTTATTTATTTATTTATTTGGGAAACCAACCGTACAAAACAAACATATATTATTTAAAAAAATAGCTAAAACAATAACTAAGCATGTTTCCACCATCAAAACCACATATTAGTAGAGAGTGAACAAAGGAAAAAAAAAGAGAAATATAGAAATTTAAGTTTACACAAAAAAAAAACAAAAGCAACACAATACGCACATATTATTATGTACACCAACTTACACCATAAAACTTAATAATACTCATCGGACCAAATCACCTTATAAATATTCCAAAATACCATTTCTATATGCTACAAGTGACAAACGATGAAAACGAACGATGATCGATGTCAGCATTAAAGGACTTAGCATCATACAACCTACAAGAACTACGACAAAAAAAACCGTATTTGTATCCGTAGAAAAAAAGTAGCGGTTGGATTTTATAATGATTTGGCTATGGGGGTTTCAGGTATAAGCTCATTTTGGAAAAGGGGTCTCTTGCTCAAAATAGTTTGTGACTTTGAGCCTATCGAAATTAATCGGGAAATAGCAACAGAGACCAATGTTTATAACGATGTGAATATTTAAGTATTTGAATTTTTTTTGGACATTTATTTCTTTGATGAAGTGAAATAAAGATACAGATAAAACGCAGATACAATCATCTAACCCGATTCTGCTACGAAGCAGTAATATCTCATAAATATAATACAACTGAAACCTGGACCCCTCAAAGTGGGTGGTGATATTCAGGTTACAATGTCTAGTGGCTTCAGTGGCCAGTTAACACCACGTGAATTATTATCACACTCGCCCATCTACAACATATTTTGCTTCTTAATTTTTTAGGTTATAACCAAAATAATAACATTTAATAGCACCGAAGGTGATCCCTATTTAATTGCGCTCAGCAGATCATAGTAACCTTGGAATGTAAGTATTGAGGTCATAGACAGCAGCTAAGTTACTGCTTCCCAATGATATAATTAATAGTAAGATTAAAAGCTTAGTTTTTAATTGACCAGTGAACANATAACGATGTGAATATTTAAGTATTTGAATTTTTTTTGGACATTTATTTCTTTGATGAAGTGAAATAAAGATACAGATAAAACGCAGATACAATCATCTAACCCGATTCTGCTACGAAGCAGTAATATCTCATAAATATAATACAACTGAAACCTGGACCCCTCAAAGTGGGTGGTGATATTCAGGTTACAATGTCTAGTGGCTTCAGTGGCCAGTTAACACCACGTGAATTATTATCACACTCGCCCATCTACAACATATTTTGCTTCTTAATTTTTTAGGTTATAACCAAAATAATAACATTTAATAGCACCGAAGGTGATCCCTATTTAATTGCGCTCAGCAGATCATAGTAACCTTGGAATGTAAGTATTGAGGTCATAGACAGCAGCTAAGTTACTGCTTCCCAATGATATAATTAATAGTAAGATTAAAAGCTTAGTTTTTAATTGACCAGTGAACATCTGTTGTTGTATTGCGCTTACGAATGAACTGAAGTTTAGTCTCAAGCCAACTAAAACAACTGAATACATAAGCATTCCAACAGACTCTTAGATAACTCGTAAATTAACTACAATTTTTGGTACATAACGTTTGTTCTTATAATAATTACACAAAATCACTCGTTAAGGCAGATAATTCGGAGAAAAACCAAATTACGGCACGCTTCTCGGCTGAAACTAGATCTAATTACATTAAAGGCCAAGTAAAATTTAGAGGCGGGTGTGTGCAGAATCTAATAATAAATTTTAATCTAGGCTCCTCATAGAGGTTACACATGTAACGCCGACGCGTTCATTCAATTACACTTATCCAAGATTACCCTCAAATTAAATCGAGGCACAGATGTGAATATTATTTCAACGAAATCAAAACCATATAGGGTGTAATTAAATAACTATAAAAAAACGAAGGAGTGATTTTCTTGATAACGCAATTTCTTGAAAATTTTAGCATTCACCTATTCACACTAACAAAAATTCATATATTCACACCAACAAAAATTCATCTATTACAACTAACAAAAATTCATAAAATTTATAAATATAATTCATAAAATTCAAAAATGTATTTATTCCAAAGAACAAAAATTCATAAAATATAATTCATAAGATTAAAAAATTCATCTATTAAAACTAACAAAAATGGTTGTGGTCTCCAATTCAGTATCCAGTATTTCGATCCTGATGATAAGATTTTACTAGTTTACAATAAAAAAATTTCTATAGTAATTATAACACATATTAAAATATACGCCGACTGCGTTTGCTTTTCCCGGAATCCTAATGAAATATGAACTTACTAAAATGACAAGTTACCATACTTTTACTAACTACATTAATGTAAATAGGTAAAAAGATTTCAGTAGCTTTTCTCCTGTTTTTATTTACCAGATATATTTTTTTCGATAGATTTATCGACTAGCAGAAAATTAAAGGTTTTTCACACATTAAATAAAATGTCATTAAATACACTAAAAAATAAAACATAATCCACAAAATTTAATCAAATTTTGACAACTTCTTCTTGATTAATCAAGGTCATCTTTCAACTATTAATGAACAGTAGTATTATTATTGTAAACGAATATTATTTATTTTGTTTGTCTCTGGAAGATACCACACACCCTGTATAAAGAGCACAAGAGCTTGAAAAATAATATCTGCTCTCGACTAGAAGTTAATTAATTCTAAGCCCAATCTAAAATAATTGGAGTTAGCACCGTCGGTGTCTGTGTATTTCAGAAGAGTGTACGTCTAACTGTCGGATCTCTAGCCGACAAGGTCAGGTCCAGAATAATTTAAAACGCTTGCTTGCTAAGCTTTTTAGATATGTTCACTTTTATTAGAGTAATCTCAAAATTAAATGATAACGAATATTATTATATATATAATTTTTGTACTACCCCGAACACCTGATCGAACAGTATTAGTGACAATGAGTCTAAAATCGAAATCTTCATCCAAAAATATTAAATCTCTATAGTAACGTATGACTGATGCTATAATGAATATAATTTATTATGAGACCGACCCTAATATTTTATTCAGTTTTCATAAGTCGTACATATAATTGAAAGCACTTTTACGATTTAATCTCGCGTGTTTCATTGTGATTGAGTGTGATTATTGTATATTATTTCCGTGGATGATTACCTCAGAGTTATCGAGAGCCGTAAAATATTCAAAAATTCAGAAATAATATTATTATAACGATAATTAAAAACTTGAAATTAAACCTTACAAGTAGTTTTAATTAATAAAAACCTTATTCGGGATATTTTTGGATACATCGGTATTATTAGGTATTAGGGTAGAGCAGCCGTTGTAACTATACTGAGACCTTAGAACTTATATCTCAAGGTGGGTGGCGCATTTACGTTGTAGATGTCTATGGGCTCCAGTAACCACTTAGCACCAGGGGGCCTGTGCGCTCGTCCACCAATCAACGGAATAAAAAAGGGTGCGTGTACTTATGTACGCGCGTATGAAGTTATACTTTATTTTTGTTAAATTTATTTCTTTTTTTTTAATATTAAATAATTAATAACAAATATTTAACGTTAATAATTTAATAATATTTAGTATGAATTACATTAAATAATAATTTTGTCATTTATATTACTAAAAAATGAAAGCTAATAACACTTTTTTTTACGAATGTACATGCGCGAAATTTCACCTGCGGCTATATTCAGACTCGCCAAGTTACGTCGGTCGTATTGTAATGAGCGATTTAGTGTGCAACTTCATTCTGTTAATTTTGTGTCACGGTGCGCGCGCATCGTAAAATTTCACTCTCATCAATTTTTCATAACGCGCCTAAAGAAGCATAACTTCAAAATAAAAAATAAAGTAATTTAAGTACATAATTCATTAATTAAGTAAGTAAATTTATAATAACAAAATTCTTACCAGCAATACAGGCGAGGTCCAGAGAGTCGTCGGTGAGGTTGTAAACAGTGCAGTTAGTTGGCTGATCGGGACGCGTCGCCGGTAATAAAGTGTAGAGGCACGGCATCGGCTGCTGTCCAGCCAAGTTCGTCGCGCGGCACGACAACGTGCCATAGTCGACGTCCGACACCGGCATGTAAGTTAATACTGAACGACCCTCCTTTACTTCCACCGTGAAACGTTCCTAAGATAAAATAGTCGACTGTGAATATTTTGTTAGGCGTCGTGGCCTAAAGGATAAGACGTTCGGTGCATTCGTATGTAGCGATGCACCGGTGTTCGAATCCCGCAGGCGGGTACCAATTTTTCTAATGAAATACGTACTCAACAAATGTTCACGATTGACTTCCACGGTGAAGGAATATATAATAATAATATATATATTATTATATAAATTGAATAATATAATATTATATATAAGAAGGAATAACATCGTGTAATAAAAATCAAACCCGCAAAAATTATAATTTGCGTAATCACTGGTGGTAGGACCTCTTGGGAGTCCGCGCGGGTAGGTACCACCACCCCGCCTATTTCGGCCGTGAAGCAGTAATGCGTTTCGGTTTGAAGGGTGGGGTAGCCGTTGTAACTATACTGAGACCTTAGAACTTATATCTCGAGGTGGGTGACGCATTTACGTTGTGGATGTCTATGGGCTCCAGTATCCACTTAACACCCAAGTAGCGCTGACGATTAGTAGTTCACTTAATTAATTCATTTACTTTTTTATTATTTCTAATTCTATTAATATTCAAGAGTGCTCGTTTAACCAAAACATACTTAAATAACTTAACAAAGCAATTATCTTACGTAATGAAAATTTAATTTCAAATATCGTAACCCTGGTTATAAAATGTTAATATATTTTGGTATGAGCCAATTTTAATTAAAACCATAATGAGATTTATTTTTATTTTATTTGCGTACATAAACAGTTTATACAGACAGGTTTAATTATGAAAGAATGAAATAATGAATATCCCGTCAACCTGAAGGAATTGGGATTGGGATGAATTGAATTGCTACTTAAGGGCAGCTATATCTGGAACAGAGTGGTGAAATGAATCCATGGATGTATTAAGCTTTTGCTGGATATATTTACTTCGCAAATAAATATTAGGCAGCTTACCAAAGCTTCTACATCGTTTTTATGAAAGTTTTCTATGAAAATTAAACAAAAATATTCAAAAATCATTCTGTCAAAAATCATATTGATCTAAATTTTATTTTTAGAACGTGTTTAATAATTTTTTTGTATTATTCGTTTTAGAACTTCTCCGAAACTCAATTTGGTATGCTAATAGATATGAAAAAAAATCAGTGAATAGACAAATACGTACTTTTAATGCATACCGTATTTTTAAAATTACTCTTAGTGTTGGTGCCTAGAAAGAACACTTTCTTTTGCACTTTTGAGCTTGAGCAAAAAATCTCAGGTCATGTAAAAGATAAAGATAAAGAAGCCTTTATTAAACATCTTAATTCATATTTAGGTACATACTATTAATGTAATTTTTCTAAACATCTAGCAAATATTGTTTTGCTTTCGCATAGGCCTCCCCCGAATCCTGCCGTAAGTCCCGGTCATGGCATTTACATTTTCATGTAAAAATAAAACATTAAATGGAGAATATAATTTGAATCTTTACCCAGAAACCTTTAACACTCATAAGGCACTCAATGATCAGTCCTTATCAATGCGATAAAATACCAATTCAAACGATTTCAAGAGGAGAAGTAGACAAAGAAATAAAGAGTTCACTATATTACTATGCAAGTGGATGTTAAGCTACTTTTCTAAGCAGTTCTCATTAACTGTGTTATTATGTTGGTCTAAAAACAGAATATACTTTTCAAATATTTGTTAAGTCAATTGAATTCAAAGAAAAAACTTTCACTGATGATAGAGCGTAATATGAGTGTATACGGGTGGGTACAATGATCACCCCTGTTTCTGCAGCCCTGCCATCAGTAATTTGGCGAATTTTAATTTTTGCAACCTCTAGTTTTAATACGCAATAGTATTTCTTTATCAGGCAAGCCTTTTTGTTGTTAACATGTGCTTTTTTTTTTTTTGTCATGTTAACATGTGCTTAGCACGTTTTTCATTCAAAAAATTGATACCTGCCTGCGGGATACGAACAACGGCTTAGTCGTATCGCTCGAAACTAGTACACAGGGCGATTTAATTTATTTATTTCTATTAATTTTGATTTCGATCCGGTGATTATGGAGGTGAACGTATACAAAAACCCATTACATTTGCAATTTTGTTATCTAATATCCCCTATCTAATCTAATTTGGTCAACGAAAAGAGCCCTGTTCACAGTTCTAAAAATAAGCTTCCCTATTTACAGTCCTGTCTACAATACAGACAGCTAACTATGCTAACAATGAACCAGTCTGTAGTGTCACTCAAACTACCCGGATATTGCTGAAATTGTACAATGATTTCGTGTTCCAAGTATAGATTGGCTGAGTGGATTTGAATAGTAATATTTAAGAATATCATAGCGGCTTTGATTTTTACTAACATGATCGTGTTTTAACCATACCGACAGCGACATTGAAACTGGTAGTACAATAGAAAAAAAATAAGATGAGCAGTGTGTAAAAAAATTTTTTTATTTTATATTTTATGATAATAAGGGTTATGAATAAACAAGATAAAAAGTTTCATTTTCCAACTTCGTTATTCCCAAGAGAATATTAATTACCACGTATGTTTGATTATTTTATAATAAGAAGATTGTGTTTTGCCACAATAAAATTCTAGAGACATGTGTAATGGACATTCGTTGACTCAGTACAATCAATGGATCAACTTGCAGATATAAAATCAGAAGAACTATGGAATATGAGAGTTTAGGTTCTTCAACTCATCCGGTTAAATGTATTCAACATCTTCATGTGACATTTAAGTTATTGGTTGTTATTTTTACAACATATTCGTAAATAATAATTAACACGAATATTTTTCAATGACAGTGTTTAGTATATTTTACTTTCTTCTCTTGACTTCTAAACTAAAATTTAACAGAAACTTTATATCAAAATAATGGCATAAATCTTTATGTCAAGTATCAATTGGTGAGCTTTAGTTTTGTCAACACTAAAATTGGGAATAGATTTCTACCTCCACATAGAAATGTCAACTGAAAACCGTAATGTTTTTTTTATTTGTTGTTATTGCTTATATGGGTGGACGAGTTCACAGCCCACCTGGTGTTACGTGGTTTTTGGAGCCCATAGACATCTACGATGTAAATGCGCCACCCATCTTGCAATATAAATTCTAAGGTCCCAAGTAGGTATAGTTACAACGGCTGTCCCACTCTTCAAACCGATTACTGCTTCACGGCAATTTCTGCAACTTATGAGCCAGTTTGGGTAGATACTACCATCCTGCCAATTCCTGCCGCGAACCAGTTTAAAGGGAAAGGCTGACTATAGAGTTGAGACTTAAAATTCGTGTCTCCAGGCGAGTGGTGGCATTTACGTTGTTGTCAAATCTAATGGGCTCCGCTAATATCTTAACAACTGGTGGGCCGTGTTCTTGTTCTTTTGTTTAAGCAAAATAATTGTTTCTTTTTCTTTTAATGTCATTAAAAATAATACTTCCTCCAAATTATAATAAAATTTAACTCCATTAAAACTTTTCTGTTTGAACAAAAATGTTTAACGTAATGACAAAAAGAAACAGAATTTTGAAACAAATGAGAACAGCAACGAAAATGATATCATTGGATGCCCAAAAAAACTTTTTTCTTTAATATCCTAAAAACTCATTTGAACAACATGCGCCCAGAATCGAATGTAATGAAGGGGGTCAAGTGATCGCCGAGATGTCGTTAGACTCGACATACGAGTTTCATCTCTATCGTCTAATTCTTAAAGAAAAATTCAGCAGATCATGTAGCAAAATTCTACAATACAGCTGCTATAGAAATTTAAACTTTAGCCTTGTTTTTTAGAGGCTATTTTAGTTTAAATATGAGAGATACAAAAATGTCCCGCGGGGTCAACAATGCTTTGTATGCAGCTGCTGAAGGGCTTGATTGCTGTATAACATTTAGATATGGAGAGAACGCTATTTTGGATTATGTCAAAGGTATATTGTAAAATAGCGGTGCTTTTCATCATTTATTTTCTACGGTTTTGTTCCCATAACGACTTTTGAATTGAATCAATATTGAATAATAACATAGCCCGAGAATCGTATAGCTGTCGAATTTCTTATAGCACGGGCATCTATAATTATGGAGTTCAATTTCGTATTAGTGAGTAAATTCTTTAGTATCTAACTAGTGTTGCGTTTATGAATGGGTGCTCAGTGATGTATTTGTAATGAAGATTAATATATTACTATACTTACAGCATCAACCCTGATGGATCCAGCAGAACTGTTCAACGTCCATTCGAAAGTGTCCGGTGGAGGATATGCGTCTACCTCGCAGATAACCTTCGTCGGTTCTTGGAGAGCAGCTCCAATCATTTTCATTTCTCTCTTCCGACAGAGCGGTTTGTCTACGAGAAAAATACAGTAACTTAAACTTAGATATAGTTTATCAAATCTATATACCTATATATAAAAATGAACTGCTGTTCGTTAGTCTCGCTAAAACTCGAGAACGGCTCGACCGATTTGGCTAATTTTGGTCTTGAATTATTCGTGGAAGTCCAGAGAAGGTTTAAAAGGTGAAAAAATATGAAAATGTTCGGAATTATATAAAAACAAACAATTTTGTTGTTCCTTTGATGTGTCCCCCGTAGGACGGATTCCTTTTGTTTTTTTTAAGTGTATTTTATACAAAAGTTTAGGTCTTTTATTTCTCGATTAAGGCACTGCGAAGTCTGCCGGGTCAGCTAGTACGGAATAAAAATGAAGACAATCGATTTGAAAAACACAATGATCCAAATAATTTGGTATCGACGTGAGATCTAAAAGTCTGTAGTGGTATTTACAATGTGACAACTGTGAGCTCCAGTGAATGTTTAGCTCCAGATCGACAGTGAGTTTGTCTGACTAGCTACAGTAGTAAAAAACGATGCTTATTCCAAGTTAAATCACTCTGGAGCGTTTAAAAAGAAACTTAATGGTGCGTGATGGAAATTCTCGATACCCGCTTAAAACGACACCGGTGCGTTGCGTGCAACGTTTACACAGATTTATCGTTTGATTAATGGATACACTAATATAATGTGCCATTTAAAACATCGATATTATGTTCACGATAAAGTTTACTGCGCCATTCAAACAGTGAATACGATGAACAGATAATTTGTTATTAATTATTTTTGTTTTAGACAGCATAATGGATAGCACGTAGTGTTTCCAGGTCCGCGTGGGGCCTAAACTCAAAGTGTGAACTCACTCAATGGCTATCTCACTCTTGAAATCTATACACATGGTTGCTTCGTGGCTCAAATGGAGGGGATCATTAATTCATAATACAAGATTTATCTTAAGCATGTAATTACGCAAACTTGTCAATTTTTGTAGGGATTTTTTCATTGTTTGCCACATGATTCTATTCCTTCATCGCCGAAATCATTCTTGATAGTACGTATGGAGTTAGAAAACCCACCTCTAAAAAAAGGAATTTATACATAGGCTTAGTCACATAACTCTACAAATTAATCTGGCCTCATATCTGCAAAATAATCGACGCTTTGTTAGTAAATGATACTTTTGATATCATATTTTATTTTGATATTATAACGATCTTCTTAACTTTCAGTGATGCTGTAAATATTTTCCTTTGAACAAATTCGATACATATTCTATAATATAACAGGTTTCATCAAACATAATTATTATATGTAAATTAAAATGTAGTAATGATGCTAATTATGCTAATTGGATATCGGCCATAAGTAATGTACTGTAAACCATAAGTAATATGTTATCGCCGATTATACACAGTTTTGATTGATAAACGTTAAGAACTTAACTGATAAACTCAATTGTGTGTCTTGAATACTATCGTCAGTATGATCGAGTATTATGTTGAATCCTGCTACAAATAGAACAATGATCAGAAATTTCGTAGCCCGTGTGTCAAATCCCGCAGGTAGGTATCAATTATTCAAATGAAATACGTACCTAACACGTAAAGCGTCTTGTTAGTTCGAATAGATACATAAGGGCCACAGCCCTGCCTATTTCTGCCGCGGTATAGGAATGCATTCTGACTTGAATAGTGGTGTTCGTCTTTCTATATAACTGAGACGTAGGTCTCATGTTAGGTGACATCACTTACATTGTTGATGCCTACGGGTTTTGGTAATGATCTAATACCAGATAGCCCATAATATTTTTAAAAGCGTTTTTGTATTTGGGTGCTATGAATTAACAGGCTGATAGATACTAAAGATGTCAAATATCTCCACTTATCTTGTAATTGTCTTCGTCAATTCACTATAACGATTCTTCAAATTATCGTACAGAAGCTTTAAACTGAAATCTATTAAAAAGAGTCAGCTCCAATATATGTCTCATTTGTGTTTCAGAGAGAAGTCTACAGTCTTGAATTCTTCTAATTAATTATCCCTTCGGATGATATTTTTAAGCTATTGCATAGCTTTTATCGCAGGCTTTGAGTGCGGCGACCGAATCAAGAAATTCCGTAACGAAAATAAAACCTAACTCCCCCCACTTCGCCTACCATGTTGCTTGCGTTCAATACATTCACACGTTGCGCTTGTGTAGTGTTTGTGAATAAGCACGCGGCGTGACGTCGCACTGCATGAAAAGTCTGCCCATCTCTTTCTCGCGCGGTCTAGCTTATGAGTGTGAAGGGGACACTTAATGTTTTGCTTTTGTTAATGTTTATAAATATAGTGTGGTCTTATTTTATTATTGTTTTAATATTAAATTATTATTGTCTAATTATAATTGCATAAGTTGATAAAAAAAGCTTTATCGCGGCAGTTCCCGAGTGCCACACGTGTTTTTTTTTTTTTTCTTAACAACAATAGCAACATCATAATTCGTTTATTTTTCATTGACATGACAAAACATTTCCGAAACCTTTCAGAACCGATTTGATAACTTAAAGGTTTTTATTTTAATTTCCCATCTCTCTTTCGATGCGAGTAAATGCTTAACCCCTCGTTGAGACAGTAATTGACGGGGATTCCGAACGTACGCATACATTTCAGGAACGGATTTGCGTTTTTTTGTTTCCTTTTATTTTTTATGTTGTTTTAACACAATCGAATATGGACTGCCTATTGGATGTCATTATAATAATGCTTCTACATACGCTCAAGGGCTCAGTTTGGAATTGAAAGATTTATATTTAGTTTTAGATGTCTGATGCATTTATATGACTTTTATAAGGACAAGGAGTACCATTTTATTACATATTCTTTTTATTATTAAGTAAGTCTAAAACCAAATTCTAAAATAGCCTCACCCTGCCATTAAACTGAAGCTTACAGTGTTAGTGTTGGTATACATAAATAAGTATATTATCATAATTTAGGATAGTTAATTTAGGATTAAAATATTTTCAAATGGCCGCATATCTCATAGGGTAAATAAGCTCTTACTTTATAAGGACTTTAATATATTATCGAGACGTCATAAGCTTATTTTAGTACACTCCTTAAGGATCGTTTCTTTTTTATTACATAAATTTTATTACATTTGAACGGTCCCCTGGTGTAAAGTAATTACCGGAGCCAAATTTGACGGTAGCTTGCAGAACATTCAATACGTTCGAACGTTAACTTAATTGTCTGAACACGCAAACTGTAAAGCATTAATAATGTTAGAAATAATAAAAAAAAACATGTGGCACTCGGGGTCTGCCGCGGTAAAGCTATTGCATAGCATTTTTATAAACCTATGCAATTATAATGAGACAGTAATAGTTTAATATTAAAACAATAATAAAGTAAAACCACGCTATATTTATAAGCATTAACAAAAGCCAAACATTAACTGTTCCCTTCACATTTATAAGCTAGACCGCGCGAGAGAGAGATGGGCAGATTTTTCATCATGCGCATGCAGTGTGACGTCACGCCGCACGCTGATTCACAAACACTACAGTAGCGCAACGTGTGAATGTGTTGCGAGCTACATGGTAGGCGGAGTGGGGGTGCTAGGTTTTATTTTCGTTACGGAATTTCTTGATTCGGACACCGCGCTCAAAGCCCGCGATAAAAACTATGCAATAGCATAGAAGAAAATAATAAACGCGATATTAAACCGTATAAGTGATTCATTGAGTCTATACGACTAGCTTTAGCCAAAGAATATTCTGTATTAATGAATTTGAATATTATCATAATTTTGGAATCTAAATATGGATGAAAATCTTGATGTGCCACTGATTGAATTTCCATTACTTGACGTACTGCAATGGTCATTATTAGAGTATACTCACAAACTATTTGTAAATGCAGTGGAGGAGATTTTCCGTCACCCTCCACGTTAGATGCTGTGCAAGTGTAGTTTCCCGCTTGGTGTCTCGATACGTTTCGGACCGCCAGGTTCGTGTTCCCGGTCAAGATTACACCGTTCGATGGATTGTGTTGTAGAAGAACCTCCTGTTAAAAATACGATTGATAATGAATACATTTTAACGGCCGTCTGGTGTAGTGGTAAGTGACATGGTCACTACACATGGGAGTCGTGGGCTCGAATTCCGCCAAGGGAAGATATTTGTATGATAAATATAAATGTCTTTTCCAGGGTTATGGATGTATATTAAATATATGTATGTGTATAATAAAAATCTTACATTTATATCCGTTATCAGGTACCTGTAACACAAGTTCTTTACGAACTTATCACGGGACCAGTTAACGTGGCGTGATTGTTAGTAAATATTTATTTATTTATTTATTTGAAATGAGAAATCAACACGGACAGGCGATCTCAAATCACTTCTTATGTTAATTATGCCACCGCCAACCTTAAGTTAAAGCCTGTCTGGGATTGGCAGAGCGTCATTTTTTCCTTCCAGACCCAAAATGCTTATTTAGTTTATAGAGTGACGTAATTATCCTTGTCCACCAAAATAGGCATTTTCACTATTTCGACTCGCATTCACGAACCTGTTCCTTTAATAATGTTTACGACAATGATCATTAAAATAGGTCTGTATATGTAAAAGAACCATGTAAAAAATGTTTAGCATATTTTAATGAGACGAGAATGCGTGAAATTTCAAAGGTCACGCTAAAATCATACAAAACCTAATCAAGGAGAATGCCACTGGTATTGCGCTCTTATGTAAACTGTGTACATTTGAACAACACGGTCGGTCTTAACGGCTCGTCTACTGTGTTTGAACAAACTCGAAATACTGTTTGTTCCAGCTTTAGGCGTACTGCGATGAACTAGGCCTTATCATGTGGACNGAGAATGCGTGAAATTTCAAAGGTCACGCTAAAATCATACAAAACCTAATCAAGGAGAATGCCACTGGTATTGCGCTCTTATGTAAACTGTGTACATTTGAACAACACGGTCGGTCTTAACGGCTCGTCTACTGTGTTTGAACAAACTCGAAATACTGTTTGTTCCAGCTTTAGGCGTACTGCGATGAACTAGGCCTTATCATGTGGACCGCTTAAGATCTTTGCGATGTTACTAACACTAGTGGTCCCGTAGTAGTCGAAATTCGACTACAATTCATTGAAACTATAAGTTTGTACACTATTATCAAAGACTATTATATTTCTATAATCACAGATTTCGCCAAGACTACACTTTAGAAAAATATTAATAAAGATAAACAGTATTTAATCTATTCTCAATTTTACCACAGACTATAAGCAATAAGAAAAGTTTGACAATTAACAAATAGTATGCATGCCTGTGTTAAATGCATGGTAGTGTGTGTAATGTTCTTTTTTATTGATTTAATATATTTTTTATGAACCGTTTAAAAAAATTTAACATTCTGCACTCCTTCTCTATATTCTCTATAAGTGTGGGAAATTTCATACCCCTCCGTCCGCACAATTTTCGTAAAGAACACAAAGGGGTTACAAAGTTTTTACTTCACGTATTAATATATAGATTATCATTTTTAGACTTGCCACCATCACCCTCCCATTTCTGTTGAGAAGCAGTAATGCCATCAGGTTTGAAGGGTGCGACAGCCGTTATACTATAGAAATAATTTACTTAGAATTCATGTTTCAAGATGATCGATTTAATTTTAAATAACGAAATATTTAGACGCGTGTCCTTGGTAAACAATACACCAGTCACTCTCTAGATACGCCTTTTCGCAGTTCGAATCTGTAGCAAGTATTAATTTTTCCTTATGATTTCTCTAACCACTTTCTCATTGAACGAATATGATTGTTATAGTTTAAAAAAATGCTTCAGAAAACGAAACCTGCATAATTTTAATATGTAGCATAACTAAGCTAATTAAATTAGTGCCTGGATATTATAATTATTTCAACCACGAATCCATCATGGCTTGTAGGGTATTTATTGCAATGTCTCGATTACAGGTACATTACAGTACAGATTACATTAAAGATTACAGTACATTTAAAACTTAAGCTCTGTTACTCATTTAAAATCAAATTAACTTAATTGGCACCTCGTATGAACTAAAAGTAACCCAAACATTTGCATATTAGAATATAGTGACAACAACAAATTACATCTTATATCAATTAGGCAAATGTTGAATTTAAGCGCTCCGGGCTATTTTTAGTCATTGAATATCACAATTTCGTTGTAATAAAATATTCTCTCTGAATAACACTAGTTTACAATGGCTACCGACTCATTAATTTTGTAAAATATCATTAAACAGTGTTCAGCAACAGACATTTATTAGAAAAGAACAAGAAAAACAAATATCAAATATATTTGGTTAAAATATTTTCCATACACAACCTAGTAGAGGCGATTAAACTTTTTCTACGGGAGGGAAGGGTTTTTGGTGACAATTTTATTGAATGTTGAACGCGCGTGTAAAGCACTTCCGTTCGGATATGTGCTTTTCAATCGAACACACGGAACACAGGATTTCGAGTTGATGAGTTTGTTTTATCTAATAGCAATGGAATTACTAGTCCTAACTTTGTGACAATCAGTTTTTTTTTACTACCTATTCTAAATTAATAACCTCGAGGGGCTATTCTAGATTCGCCGAGCTAGTAGGTGAGTTCACGGGGCTCAAACCTGACGACGTTGCTAACACGAACCCTAGCAAGAGCCGTGCTTCGCAGAATCTACCACCGGATTGGAAACGCGACCCATCGAGAAGATACGAGGAGAAACTCAGTGGACTGTGTCTGTGGGTTAATTTACTCGTCGAGCCCTTCATCGCAAGCGACGGGTTCGACGAGAACGATGATCGGTGCTTGAGGTACCTAAAAGAACCTTTAGTGGATCGGGAGGATCCGAGATGACGTGTTTTGGGCGACGTCGACTGCTTTCCATTCGGTCCGCAGGATCGGGAATTTAGTTACCGGCGGCCACGATGAGAGGGTTCTCGTGTCGTGCCGCTTTATTGATATGGCGCACTGATGCCGACTGTAGATACTTAACACTCAGTACTGATTCGATATACTACGAATCAAATTTATAAATACAATACAATCAATCAATCACAATATAATATTTATTTGTTTATGAACGGAGACATTTGGTGTTAACCAAATACCATAACTAAGGCACTTACGGTTTGATCGCAATTTGAAAAGCTTAGCACACGCTTACTTGCCCTGAAATACCGCATCCTACAGAGTATGGAGGTGAGTTATTAAACTATACTTTTTGTAACATAAATAGATAACCACAAATCAATTTGAGAAATTACTGGTAAATCAATATCTGGTGCATTTAGCAAGTTGGTTTTTATTTCAGTATATTTATTACACGAAGCAAATTCTTCAACGTAAAAGTATTTTGTTGTATCTGCAGGACTTTATCATTATTCAAGAAATAAACACGTCAAAGAGTCAAGAACATGTTTGCTTACGTTATGCTCCCATATGACTTTGTACGCTGGTGGATTTGCGTCAACGTCGCACCCGAAGTAAACATCGTCGCCTTCTTCAATATCATTTGGATTCATCTTCGAGCCAAGCTCCATTCTTGTAATGGGAACGTCTGTGGTAAAAAAAAACATTAATGCACCACGCAGTCTTTGTGTTTTACTATTTAGAATAAATGAAAAAGTGCCTCTTGATAAGTATGATTCTATTATAAATGAAATAACAAGAAATAAATTTAATATCTGTGATGCACAGAAACCTTATCTTGAGAATTTTCAACTGTCTAACTCTTACAAGAAAAGAACTAACTGTCTTACTGCAACGCCGTAGCTGNAAAAAAACATTAATGCACCACGCAGTCTTTGTGTTTTACTATTTAGAATAAATGAAAAAGTGCCTCTTGATAAGTATGATTCTATTATAAATGAAATAACAAGAAATAAATTTAATATCTGTGATGCACAGAAACCTTATCTTGAGAATTTTCAACTGTCTAACTCTTACAAGAAAAGAACTAACTGTCTTACTGCAACACCGTAGTTGGATTCAATGGACGAACATTTAAAGTTATATTAAAAAAGTTTGTCGCAATAAGTTTATCGTAAATAAATACAGGAATAAATTAGCTAGAGAAAACATTTTAGCAATGCTAATAAGTTTTAGCTTTCGGCCACTAAAATTTTAAGTTAGTACTATGTAGTAGTTAGTATGCCCTTTCTGTATTTACTGACATATTTACTGACGCTGTAAAGAAATAATATTTTCGGTATCATTTCTATGACCAGAAAAATGAAATGATCTCTCATATTATATAATATTGTTGAAATCAAAGGAGCCGCTGAGACTACATAGCATCTGAAAAAGGGGTGTTTCTCTGCTCATATTTTCTACTAACGTTTCACGAACGCGTTTTTAGCTAAGCCCGCTTTGAACTTCACTTCTGGGAAAACTAAATGCTCTAATACTTAAAACACCGCTTGACATATTATGTTATCGAGGATAAAACAAGATAATATTTTCTAGAAGCTTTCGTTTGATTATAAAAAAATCTCAAGAAAAGTTTTCAAATTACTTTAACTTAACAAGTTTCATCGAAGATTGAACGGAAGATTCTCTATTAGTAAATGAAGTCAAGATTAGATTGAGTCCAGAAGCGGCCACATGGAAACAAACTGATTTAAAAACTTATTAATGTAACGTGCAAAATTTTGATTCAAACGATCAGATGGTCATTTGATATGCAGTTACCGGAGTTCACTTTCAGAGATAAAGCTATAGTCCGAATTAAAAATTTGGCTTTGATTCTCTCGAATCACTGGTGGTAGGACCTCTTGATTACTGGTGGTAGGACCTCTTGAGAGTCCGCGCGGGTAGGTACCACCACCCTGCTTATTTCCGCCGTGAAGCAGTAATGCGTTTCGGTTTGAAGGGTGGGGCAGCCGTTGTAACTATACTTGAGACCTTTGAACTTATATCTCAAGGTGGGTGGCGCATTTACGTTGTAGATGTCTATGGGCTCCAGTAACCACTTAACACCAGGTGGGCTGTGAGCTCGTCCACCCATCTAAGCAATAAAAAAAAATATCACATTTCACTGGAAAAATAGATAACACAGTATAATAATTTTTGGGCAGATACGGCTTGAACGAAGTCTCATCAACTAGGGAATATTTGTTTCAAAATGGTCAAGACATTCATAACGGTAACATAAAAAAGTCTTAACAATAAATATTTCGAATATCCTAACTGAATTATTAGGTAAAGTGAAGCGATACTTACAGTAAATATTCAAAGGTAGCTTGCTTTCAATGGTGGAGTGATTGAAGCGAACATGTTCAGCTCTGCATGTGAGTACCTTCCCGTTGTGCTCTTTCATGGGGACCCATTCGAGCAACGACTGGCTTTCGTTTGTATCCTTCTATGATGAGAACGAATTTTTATATAAATAATCTGTTTAAGAAAATACAGTGCTGATATATTTTGTATTCACTGACTTTATGGAAACCTAAATTTGACCGTTGAATTACGATGAACTTTAATAAGTTAAGTAAGAATTCAAATCTTAATTGCCAGATGATAACAAATAGTCTAAGTGTATCTTTCCAATTTAAAATCGTAATCTCATAAAGGTTTCGTGGCAAAGTCTAAATGTTACACAATGGGTTGAATCCTTAATAGTTGAGACATAGGCAAACTGATCAGAAACAACGGAGGTATAAATTCCAGTCTTCAACTTCATATTCTTACTGATGGTAGATTATTTTACTAGATAGAACAAGCTAGTACTGGCTACCACCTTATTTCCTGTTTCTGTTCCAAAGCAGTTTCTTCTTAGTTTGAAATGAGGAATAGACTTTACATAATACAAATGAGTCTTTGAACCCAAGCCTCAATAACTAAATAGCAATAAAACTAAATTATTTTTTTATGGTTATCTTTTTATATAATAGTTTCTCACTTTCTGTTTGCTGATAGAGTGCAGCGGTTTTCCATCAAGCCACCAAGTGATATTAGCAGGGGGTCGTGCCCCTGTAGACCGGCACCAAAGCTCAGTCTTTCTGCCCACGGAGAGCGGCTGTTCTTTTGATAAAATTTCGACTGATAGCGGCCTCACTGGGAAAAAATGGGATACTGAGATATTTGTGGTTGTTAATTTTAAATATAATAAAGAAGTTCAGAAGAACTCAGTAAATAACAAGATTGTGATAAGAACTGTTAAAATAAATGAGCTAAAAGTAAAGTAAGTTAAAGTAATTGAAAGTATTTTAATAAAGCTGGAAAAAAATTCATACATATGGATAAGATCCTACCAATATCACTACTGTATTATTTTATCGAGTAAGAAGATGATAGTGGATTGTGCGAGCCCTCAGTACGAAGGGCCAAAAAGAAAAAAAAAATCAAGTGTCGCACTCAATGACCATAAAATTCCTGCTTTGTTGTTTTTCGTCATCATCATAAAACCAGCCACATAACGTTGTCAGCTCGCAAGACATTCAGTTTAGGTCGGATATTTTTAGTATCAAAAGTCTGCGATCATTCGGAGTCTTAAAATGAAAAAGAATATGTTGCGGAAAATGATTGCTTTGACCGAAGGTCGGAAACGATGTGCTACAAAATTGCAACATCACCTAAGGTTTCGCTATTTTATTGATCGTGAAAATTGCAAACTAAACAACATAATAAACGTCCAATGTTAAACTTTGTTGCTTTATTAAATTAGATGTTCCAATAGAGTCAAGTACCTGATATTTCACTTTCCAGTGCGGCAATACATCAAAATGCTATCAGGCAAGTAAATAAAGAGATATATTCTTGTCAACTAAACCAATAAGCTCGGAAACGACTCCGCGTAGATAAACTGCGTGAAATATTTATTTTACTCTCGTAAAGAAATTGTCTGTTACTAAACTATTTAGAAAGAGTTCATTGATCTTACAAAATAGTTAGTACTTTTACTAAATATTTCCAGAAAAGTCATATTTGGAAATCGAATTCTAAAAAACCTATTTCATTCGCACGATTTTACACGCCCAAATGACAATTTGATTTTTGTTATAGATACGTAATTTTATTCTGGATCTCCAGTTCGAAAAGTAAGTACTAATGCGTCTAGCATTTTTGCTTATTTAATGACTAATTTCACAAAAAAAAAAGGATTGGTTTTTGATTACTTGTTTTCTATTCTTCTGTTATTGTTTTAAAGTAATCAATTTATTATGATAAGATTTATTACGTGTAAACAATATTTGTATTTTTGATTATGGTTATTACAAAAAATTATTCCATGAAATCTATATACCGACCAAAACTAGTTTATTTGAATTTATAGCTAAAACATAATAATTCGATACTTTTATGAAGGCTAATAAGATTGGTATTGAAACTAAACTTTCATAGATTGGAAAAGCTCGGGGCTAGTAATTTGGCTGAGGTCCAATGTTGTTTAATTTTCCCACAATTTCGGGTATAGCCAGAATTCTTTTCTATTATCAAAGTTTTCATTATGATTTATTTTAAAAAACGAATTCGTTTTTCATGAGAGCGATGTCTGATTATTTTTTGTTTTACCATAAATCGATAGCTTTCTGTTTCTCTGATAACATTTAGATACGTTTAGATTGAATTTTTTGAATCGATTGATTTTGTTTATTGTGTAATCATTGACGCTTCAATAATGTGATGAACAGAGTGAAAATGTGTGAAAGAAAAATCACAAATGTTCACTCAATTTTACATTTGAAAGCGCCTACGTCACTATTTTATGCCCTTGATTTTTAAATGAACGTATATCCACAGGGTGTTAGGGATTAATGACACCCACTTTGAGACAAAAGGTGAATTTCAATTGAATTATACGTATAACAACTGTTAGCCCACTGAGTTTCTCGCCGGATCTTCTCAGTGGGTCGTGATTCCGATCCGGCGGTGGACTCTGCGAAGCACTACTCTTGCTAAGACTAGTATTAGCAACTTCTCTCAGGTTGAACCCGTGAGCTCCCCTACCCGACCGGGCGTAGCTGGAATAGCCCCTTCGGCTACCAGCGAATAGGTAGGGAAAAAAACAACTGTCCCATTAATTCGCGGCAGAAATAGGCAAGATGGCAGCTGTTGCAGAAAATAAAATAAAATAAATTGGTTTGCAGATTTCATTTTTATTACACGGTGTTATTGCTTCATCAAGGAAGTTGTAAATATGTGTTAAATAAATATTTTTTTAGAATTGGTAATTTTAAAATTGATACCTGTTTTAGAATTTGGCAATGTCGTCACATCACACGTACTACTGAACCAGACATTTTATCTTTTCAACCATGATTGCTTCTAAACTATTCTAGCCTAAACTCCGATTAATAAACCAGGTTTCACACTATCTCTATATATAAAAATGAATTGCTGTTCGTTAGTCTCGCTAAAACTCGAGAACGGCTGGACCGATTTGGCTAATTTTGGTCTTGAATTATTCGTGGAAGTCCAAGAAAGGTTTAAAAGGTGAGAAAATATAAAAAAGCTCGGAATTATATAAAAACAGACAATTTTGTTTTTCCTTTGATGTGTCCCCTTGATGTGTCTTTTATTTATCGATTGAGGCACTACGAAGTCTGCCGGGTCGGCTAGTAATCAATAAAATTACACTTTACTCACAATACAGATCCACTCGAACGCTAGTCTTCTGCGGTGTAGACAACAGTGTGTTGTCAGCCGTGCAAGTGTAAACAGCAGACAAATGCAACCTAGTAGCGTTCTTCACAACTAGTACTAGAGTTCTGGTCATCCCCGAAGGTTGAAGGTCGCTGGCTCCCAAAGTCGTTAAAACTGTGTCTCCGTGCAGCCATTGTACTCTTGGAGTGGGTGTACCTATATTTAAAAAAATGTTAAGTGAATGATGGTCATACGAAGAAGCTATCTCAACATAACCCCTTGAAAAGATTTGTTTAAAACAACACATTCACAAAAACTATATATTATAGCTAAAACAAAATTAATAACACAGGCTTAGCCCCCAAAATTTAATGAAAATAGAAAATGAAATCAAAAGTACCAATATAACAATTATACACACAAAACACCCACGAGAACGTAACAATACAAAGGCATCGCAAAGGCACCTTAAATTGAACGAAGATCAAATCGACATTAATAATTTCATAAATTCTAAAGAAAAGCATTTGTCTCCAAGTTGAAATTCTTTGAAACATTCAACGGGTATAGAATCACTCGTAATGAGGTAGCAGGAAATTCACATAAAATCATTGTTCTTACCCCCGTTTACTGAACAAATAAGTTTGAAGTCCCCACCCTCGTTGTAAGGGCCCGCCGCACCGGATATTTCCTTGCCGAATTCGTCAAAGATAACCGGCTTATTCGGGAGCTCTGCGCGAAAAACACACACGAATTACAATGGTCAAATAGCATTTATTAATCTCGAATTTGTTGAGTTGAGTTGAGTTGTGCTTTTTTTTCGAGATTCGTGGACGACGTCACAGCGTAAATACCACCTTTAAACATGTAGGAGAAGTCTCAATCGTATTGTGCAGCAGCTTTCCCACTCTTGAAACCGAAACGCATTACTGCTTCCCAGCTAAAGTAGATAAGACCTCCACTGTTAATACTAATAGTTTGTAAGTAAACTTTGAGACTGACTATTATTTACCCAGTGGTCGATCTAAATTCTATTTGGTTTTGCTAATGACATTTTATCTAGTTAAGGTGAAATAAAAATGGTTCCCAAAAATTCTGAAGTTATATTATATCATTATGATAAGTTTAAGAAAACAGATCAGTGATCCGATTTTAACACACTATTATTCAATTGTAAATTGTTATTGTAACTATTAGATAACGAATTTTGTGAATCCTTTTACAACTGTGAACAATTACGCCAAAGAAGTATAGCTTCTTACGTGCTTACCAAAGTACAAACATCTATTGATAGATCTACAAATCGTCGTCGAATAGTTGTTAAATAAAATATCGGTTGACGAACAATGGAGAAAAAGGACTAAAAGGTTTTTTGCCTTTTACCCATTTTTTATTTACGTAACCACAAATATCTATTGATAGAGATATTATATAAAATTGAGTAGTTATAATACCGAGTGAGTCTGGTCATCCACAACAATAAATACAATAAGAATAATTATAGTTCGGAACAGAATTAAATATAACAGGAACAAAATTAAATAACGCACGGTCATCCGGCCACATTTTAAGATCCCCTGTGTTATGAGTAAAATAGAATGATAAACATACTTAAATATGTTTAAATATACACATAAATACATAAAAAGCACCTAGACAAAGAGCAAACAAACCTATTCGTCACACAATGTTTGCCCGACGTGGGAATCGAACCCACGAACTTCAGTGTAACAGTCAGGGCTGCTAACTACTGGACCACGGAGTAAGTCGAAATAAATTTTATAAACATAAAAGTAAGAATAACCCCCTAGAAACGACTAAAAGAGAAGTAACAGACTTTTTTACTGTATCAAACTTTAGTTCCACCATTAATACGCGCAATTTATTTCACGTCATAAAACTCAACTCACTTTGCAAAATAAATTACAATGTTGCCCATTCTAAAAGCGAATAAAAGGCTAATGAAATAACATTTCATGCTATAAATGATTACAGACTTAATATTATTATCCTTATCCAATAAAATGTTTAATGCTCGTAATAATTTATGTTTAGGTTTTACGTTAAGAATTCACATTTCAAAATTCGTTCAAGTAATTTTATTATATTTGAAAATTTACAGTGCTCAGTTTTGAAACACAGTTTCGCATTCGATACCTCAAGTACCTCACATACAAAAAAGTATTTTAGCTTAAGACGCTTGCACACTCTAGATTCTTCACGTTTCAAAATAATTCATTTGATTTTTATGTCCTAAGCATGCTTATTGAACGCCATAATATAATCAGCGAATTACAAAAGAACTCATGAGCGCTTTAGAGAGATATTTATCCATCGTGAATTAAGGGCAGAGCTTGGAGAAATGGTGTTACTAAAAAATTATACCAAAACTTCACAATGTAAAAAAAAATTACTGATCAGAATTTTTCACTAGTGATAGAGCATCTTGTAAGCCCGTATAGACACGTACCATCGCTCCGCCTATTTCTGCCGCGAAATAGTAATGTGTTCCAGTTTTAATGCTGGGGATTCCGTTGTACTATAGTATTGAGACATAGAACTCATGCCTCTATTTGTTTGGCGCATTTACGCCGTTAATGACTAGTGGGCTCCGGAAAGGGCTTAATACCAGGTGGTCCATGAACTCATTCATTCAGATTCAGCAAAAATATAATTTTTATTTATTTATTTTTTATTGCTTAGATGGGTGGACGAGCTCATAGCCCACCTGGTGTTAAGTGGTTACTGGAGCCCATAGAAATCTACAACGTAAATGCGCCACCCACCTTGAGATATAAGTTCTAAGGTCTCAAGTATAGTTACAACGGCTGCCCCACCCTTCAAACCGAAACGCATTACTACTTCACGGCAGAAATAGGTAGGGGGTGGTACCTACCTGTGCGGACTCCCAAGAGGTCCTGCCACCAGTACACCACTGCTAATTTATCAGTTTATGTCGGCTTTCTTCAGCCTAAAGACTCTTTTTGCACTCACTAATTTCCTTAATTGTTGAAAAGCGTATCCTTAATGCTTCCCACCTACTACTACAATAATTATTTTAGTAATTAGATATCGTCTTGAAATTAAATTGGTACATATCAATATACAACTAAATAATTATTTTTATTGCTTAGATGGGTAGACGACGGCCCACATGGTTTAAATTGGTTACCGGAGCTCATAGACATCTAAAACGTAAAATCCGCCACCGAACGTGAGATAAAAATTATATTAATAAGGTTTCATTATTTATAGTATAGTTTTAAAACTCGATAAAAGACTGGACTGGAAAGAATGGATAAGTCTATATAATATACGAAAATAAAATTCTAAATAGTTTCTCCTCGAAGGGAAAACAAAAGAAGAAAATAAAAACCTTCACCATATAATAATACAAGGAAACAAATCCGAAACATTTTTGTCAGAACGAATTCCACTTATTCGGGCAAATAGCGGTGTTTACCTCTGTTACCGAAATTTATTCACAATCAAAACGAAATCAGTACGCGGAGAATCGCTAAAGTATAGACGCTTGTGGTATATCCTCAAATTGCGGATAAACAAACTAGGACCCTCTCCAGTGTGGACGAAGAAATGAAAATGTTTTCGAACCGAAACAAAAGGTTCGATAAATGAGTGTCGGATATATCCGCTATAGGGCTGCCCGGACATGGATATTTTTGAATTTAAACGTATTTTGTTTGTTGATTTCGATATCAATCACATAACATAGAATGGATTGTAAGCTCATACAGTAGCAATTAAAAGTGTTAATGGAATAATTCTCTCAGTGAGAAGCAAAATGTATTTACGAATCTATCGATTTTTTTCTTTTGATGAATTTTAAATATTATGGCACTGCTGCAAACGCCACGATGACAGGGAGACTTAATACTGCTGGTAGAGTATCATTAGAATCAGGAAAAACTGTTTTTTCTTTTGCCCTTGTATGCAGACGAGCATACAGCCCACCTGATGTTGAGTGGTCACCGTCCCCTATGGACCTCAGCATTACCAGAGGCAAAGCCAAGCCGCTGCCTAACTACTTTAGTCCATTTTAAAATTTATTTAATTCGTTTTACAGTTTTAATAACTAATACAGTGCCAACCTTGTTAAGATTGAACACAGTATCGGTAGCATCAGAAAAAAAATACTGCTTCATTTCAATATCATTTTGAATTGTTCTCATTCAGTGAATTTAGAAAATCATTTTTGAAATATGAATAAACTAGCGAGTGATTTTCTTTCATAGTTCTAATGGTTTTGCACAGTTTTCATTCCGCAGAAATATAAATTTCCCAGAACAAACCCTTTTCTTTTCGAAAATTTCTTTGCAAGCTTTATTCAGAAGCTTTATTTTAAGATTAGTTTATAAGATTTTTTTTATGAGAGACTACTGGTAGCCTAGAGGCTTTTCCAGTCTCACCAGGATTGAACGTAAAAAATTGGCAGTACTTAGCAGGCAGTCCATGGTCGTCTACTTCTTTCTTTTTCTCCACCTTATCCCACTAGGTGGGGTCGGCACAGCTAATTTTTCTCTTGCATTCTCTTCTATCAACCGTCATCTCAACACTCACTCCTCTCTCTCTATATCGTCATTCACACACTCCATCCATGTCTTCTTCGGTCGACCTCTTCCCCCTCTACCTTGCACTACCATTTCCATACATCTCCTATATATATTTCACAAGGACTATAAAAAAAATTAAAAATTATCAGAATTAATACTTGTAACTTTATGAGTCAGATAGTTTTGGGAAATTATTATTCAAGAAAATCACTTCTGCCGCTTACCACCCATCTTCAGAATGAACTCACCCCAACATCGATTTCTGAGCGCTATGACGCGCCTAAGCTTGCGACGCTTGTGCGATTAAATAAATAAATAAATAAATATTTACTAACAATCACGCCACGTTAACTCCGTACACGGCGTGAATAACTTGACAAGTCGACTAATATCAAATTTTAAGTTATAGCAGAATTGTCGTCCAGATTACTTGTTTTATATGGGGAATCAATGAGTAACTCGATTCTCTCACGTATTTTTGGGACATCGGACTTGTGAATTACTAAACAACTCTGTTTCTAACGAGAACATGATGACATTTAGATATATCTAAACATAATAATGTTATTTATTTAAATAACTCGACACGTTAAGTTATTTACGCCACATAATTAAATGAACTAACAGAATACCTTTAGATGATCAATTATTCACATAACCCATAATTGTGTTCGCGACTATACATATCCGGTTGTCAAGTTATTACTGGCATGAAAAAGCATAATAATATTCAGAAAAAAGAAAGGATAAAGATGAAGCAAAGTGCCACTCATCCACTCGAACATATACATATGATCTTTAGCAGTGCTTACCCACCCCCTATTTTAAAACTTCTGTTTCTTTTTATAAAAGACCGCTATGGTCCTACAATCTCACAATCCATGATTTAGCAACTAATAAGGCTACATGTTACATGTAGGACGAAACCGTCGGTGCTCGTCAAATCGCGTCGTGTCTGTGGCATTTTCTTCAGAACTTGCCTTCAAAAGATAACTAAGTCACATTTTATTCAGATACATGTGGAGGCCAAAACAAAAATAATGCGGGTGCAATGATGTTCATGTATTTACTTCATGTGTATCCAACGCTAGAAACTATTAATCACAAGTTCTTGGATTGTGATTCACATGGAGTGTGATTCGTATCATGCCTTGATTGAGA